TTTCCATTTGTCTGTTTCCGTAAAAGTATATTTCTCGATGTTACTCATTATCGAAACAGAAATATAAGTTGTCTATTTTCATATAAGAGAGTAAGATCAAAAGAAATATAGACAACAACGGATAACATATTCCTAGAAATTGTGTTGCTTAAGTGGAAATGCTGTCACGTTCCATCATGTTCTGTCGCTTGTTGGTTTCGTTTTTTTTTTTTTTTTTTTAAGGCTCAACATGGAAAAGAAGTCCATTCTAAATTAGAACTGTGAATATAGACAAAGTTTTGAATATGTCCATCGATAACTGTTCTATAAAAAAATGACTTTTTTCGAACATTAGAATAAGACTAGTGACTTTTCTTTAATTTTTTGGATGCTGAATATGAATGCGTTTTCCAAATTGCACCATCATATCAATTTTGAGAAATTCGCAATTATAACAAGAGCTACTTTTACGTACTTTGACTTACTACTCATATTAGAACTACGACATATGCCGAAGAAGTTTTAATGCAATAAAAATTAAATTAAATATATCGTTAGGATTTTCAGCTCTCTCAAAAGGATTTTTTTAGTTAGATATAATTAATACGACATTTATGGTTAAATATGGGGAGTTTTATAAAAACTTATGAATTAGACATTGATGATTTATCAAATATTATTTCAATTGCATTTGTTTTAAAGTTTTTTTAAGTTGTAGAATACAAATCCGATGTCAAAGTTGACAAATTAAAAATGTTTATTCAATATAATGGATGTTAAAACTTAAAAAATGTCAATTGTTATAAAAATTTATATCTACAGATCTTTCATGATTTTAATGGGTCAATTCTATAAGCAGAATCGTAAGACTCGTAACATGTTCTCGTAAAATTTGTATATATAAGAACTTATGACTAGTATTCTAATTTTATGCGTATGTATCGTAAGACGTACAATTATTCGTAAATATCTATAATTTTTTATAAATTTTATGGCTAGTAAGAAGCTGTCTGTAAAAATATTGTATAAAGGTATAATCACTTAAAAATTCTTACAAGTGTTACAGGAATATGTTACGAGCCTTACGATTCTGCTTAGAATTTAGGCATAAATTTGTCAAATTTGCTATTGGATTTGTATGCAGCAATCTAAAAAAAAGTTTAAATGAACATAATTGACAACTTTAGAAAATCGTCAATAACTTAATTCATAGACCCCTCAATAGACCCCATATTTAACCATAAACATGTTATTTATAGGGCCGTTTCTACCAATTTTGGTTTTAACTCCAGTTTAGTGAAACTTCAGTTAAAATTAACTCTCAGTTTAATATATTGATTGGTTTCTACGAACACTCCATCTAGAACGTTTAGTTAAACTTATAACTTATGCTACATATCTTTAGGAAACTTAATAGAGTTTTTCATTGGCAGAACTAGTGCGCACTCGGTGCACTTTAAAGCTGTTGTACACAAATCGACATAAAGATGTACGTTTAAAAAAAATATAGGGGGGAACACAAATTAAACCGCGAAATATTCAATACATTTTATCGTGCCATTTGACGTTTTGACAACGAAATTTGTGTTGCATGCCATTTCGTTATTACTTGCTTAATTGTGAAAATGTGACTTGTCTCGTACTTATGAAAGTCCTAAAAATGAACGGAAACTACAGTTATCTTGTAATTTTATACGTAAAAGTGTATATTTCAATCGTTTCAACAGCTGTCAGACTGTGCGTTTCCTGCCCGAAAAGAGGCTCCCACTTTACGTGCCTTTTACGTGTCATTTCCTGACTGTCGAAGGAGGAAAGGACGGTTTTCGTCGAATTCTCACAAATGTTTTAAAGCGATCTCGTCATTTAGATTTATTCAAATTGTCTTTATTTACAATTGGCATGCAACATTAACGCGTCATTTTTCGCTTCTGACGTCACGATTCCAACATAGCCGCAGCGACTACTTAGGAGAATTTCGAAATTAAGATCTTATTTATCATTTCTTACAAGGGAAGTTTCACAACTGTCCGGAACCGATTTCATTCTCTGAAATATGTTGTTAAACACGAAAATCTAAGACACGTATTTTTTTATACATACTAACTCATGTTTAAGGGGTGACACAGCCCTTTGAAAAAAAAACGGTATTTTTCTTTCGAGGCGAATATCGTCGGAAGTATAAAAGATAGAAAAAAATTTTTTTAACTAAAGTTGTACGGTTTCAAGAGTACTTCAATGTTGTGAAGAAAAAAATTTTTTTAAATTTTTTTTGTTAATTTTAATTGTTAAACAAAAAGATTAAAAAAAATTTTTTTCTTCACAACATTGAAGTACGGTTCGGTCCGGACAGTACGCCAAATGAATGCTTCTACTGCTTCCTTACATCGCGCGTCATCGTCATCACGCACGGTATATTTAGTAGTAAGAGGGAGAAAAAAAAGATCACGTCCGTCGATTAAATTCCTCGCGTCTTAGGCCGATATAAGGTGCGTTCCCAGTGTTGTGCATAGATGATTTAAAAATTAACTAGGTAAAGGTAAGATGAAAATTTGGAAATTTATCTTAGATAGGATAAAGATGATTCAATTAAATTCATCTAGATAATCTAGATAAATTTATCTGAAAATTCATCTGAAATTTTTCAAATAATTTTTTTTTATTTTTAAGATTTATACTTACAGTTACAATAAATAATATTCATACGAAAGGCTATAGGAGTCAACTTCTGACTGTTAAAAATTTCGAGACGTACATTTAATTAATAATAACATATGATTTCGACTCCTGTTTGAGTCATCTTCAGCGTTATAACCTTAATATTACAGCAATTAATATATCGCAGTAAATATCTTTAATTTTAATTTGCGATGACGTTCTGCAATTCTCGTGTGATTTACTATTACTTTGTACGTGACTTGTTGACTCCGTGAGGTGAGCACAATTTTTATTTCTGTTGTCTTCTATATTATTCACCTTCTTCAACGATTTTTTTGAATTTTAGCTTGAGTTTTTATCCACAACGGTCATATCACAAAAGGAGAGAAAACTTTGAAGACATTGATTGCGATATATTAATTGCCGTAATATTAAAAGGTTGTAACGCTGAAGATGACTCAAACAGGAATCGAAACGTACGAAATCGTATGGTATTATTAATTAAATGTATATCTCGACATTTTTAACAGCCAGAGGTTGACTGCTATAGCCTTTTAATGGTATGAATTTTTTTATTGTTTGTCGTATCAATTAAAGAAGTCTATAACTTATTAGTTTTAATTTAATTTCATTATTACTCACACAGTTAATAAAAAATATAAGATTTTACCATTTGTTTTATCTTTTCTGTGGCTGAACTAGTGTACGTACACTTTTGGAACTTAAAATGAGATAGGTATTATATGTCTGATATTTGGCGAAAGAAAGAGAATTCTATGCACTACAACTCTCTGCACGTCTAGTGCAAAAATAAAAAACAGAGGGTCGATTGTGTATCTAGAAATAAGGTAAAAATTGCAAAAGTGAGCAAATTCACTAGAATAGTTATAATTTAATTGGTCAATATTTAGTGAATTTGCTCACTTTTGTAATTTTCTCCTCATTTCAAGATACACAATCAACTCTCAAATCACTTGAGTGCAAGTGAGTAGTTATATAAGGTCTGTTCGTGTTGCATGAAATCCCCAAATATTTTTGCACTTAAAATAAGATGGATATACATATATTTGGCTTTGAAAAGAGAGACAGCGAAGGTGCCGAATACAAAAAGTGCAAGCAACGCGAACAGACCTATCTACTATTGGATGCACCCACTTTCTCCTTGAGGCTGAAAATTTTTCTGCAAACATGAACTACATAAAGGCGAATATTTCAATATTCAGCACATTTTTAGTAAGGTAAAATATAAACTAAATTATCTAAACGTCATTCTAAATATAGATAAAGACGACACTTTTTTTTCATCTAAGATGCAGACTAAGATAATTAATATTTTTATTATCTAGATAAAGACATCAAAATTTCATCTAGATGATCATCTAGATAATTTTATCTAGATAAAATCCAACACTGTGCGTTCCACTTAATGTAATTCGCAACGTCGCGTGTATTATCTCATCCTTGTTTAATATTTGATGACAAGAAGGGCGCAATGATCGCAATGAATGTTAAATGGAACGCATTTATAAAGCCAGATAGCACGCACAACCCAGGTCGCAGATCGCGAGTGAACGTGTATTTCAGATTATAATAGATTGCGGGTCGTTAATATAAGTTGAAGGACACCCAAGTTCCCGCGTCTTGCAACCTATTATAATTAAAATACGTTTGTTAGGTTAGTTTCTAGTTTCGCGACCTTCGTTCCGCATGCTATGTAGATCGGGCTTAATCGCACGCGCGCGTGAGAGTGAGAGAGAGAGAGAGATTCTTATACTTAAGAATGTCTCGAGTACAGTCTCAAAGTATCATGAACCAATCAGAGAGCCGCGCCGCGGCTATTAAGATATTATTTAAGATAGTTTTAAAATAAGAATACCGGCCCTAGAATCGCGCGAGCATTCTCAAAGAGTACTTGCGTCGGAGCCCTATGGACACACCTGCAGTTGATCCGAGGTGATGACGTTGAAAGTCGTGCCATTGGTCGAGTTCGCTACGCCGATGATGGAGCCCACAGGAAGAGAGACTGGTACGCCGACCCCAGGTACGCCCGGAACACCCGATACCGTAGTGACACTCGCCGTGACCGCGACAGGATGTGCCTCGTGCTCACTCGTCAGCGTAGCCGCCTCCTCGGTCTCGCTCGTCAACGGTTCGGACATGTCCGGTAGCACGGCGACACTTTCCGATGTTTGACTCTCCTCCATTTCGGCTGTTCTCGCCTCGTCTCGCCTCGTCTCCGCGCCTCTTCGCCAGTTCTCGCACTCCTTACCGCAGTCGCCTAGTGCAGTCGCCACCGTAGCGCCGATACCTCACCGATTTGTCACCGAGCGCTGAGCACGATTCGCTTAAGTTCCTCGTTCGTTTGCGCAATGGTATCGGCGCTGATCGGCGCACGCTTAGCGGGACCGAGCGGGACGCTGCGTAACGACGGCGTACGTACATACTTACATACTCACATACTTACATACGCTACTTCTAATCTAGACAGCAAAAATCTTCAAAGGCATCATCTTTCCTTGCGCCTGTATATGTTTCCGTATTATTTTTCTACATATTATGGTTGCAGTGTTCCAAAATTGACTGTCAGTACTGAAAATCTATACATACAGTGCACGTGACGTAAACTGTAGAATTTCAGCACTGGCAGTAATTTGAAATGAAACGCAAGTCGCGACCCAAGTACGAGGGTCGTTTGAAAAGTTTTGAATCTCAATACGAAGATGGCATTACTCGTCAAAACCATTTTGGTATTACAATCGTACACTGCCCGTCAATGATTCGCAGGGTCGTGCAGTAGCCCTGACTTATCGGCTTGATTTACTCGTAGGGTCGATAACGCGCGCACTTCGGAAAACGCACGGAAAGGGAGTTCATTAGCAGTATATATGAATACGAAATAATATGATTGTTCTGATGATGACATATTGTTACAAGTTTTAAGTCAGATTGATGGCAAATAAGGACCATTGCTACTAAAACCTCGTGTACAGAATTACGTTCAAAACGTAGTTTCTGTATTATCAAATGTAGACTTTAAATCACATTTTCGGTAAGAAAAAGTTATTTATGTATATTGAAAATATACTTAATAAAATACATGTAATATTCATTATTTGTAGTAATGTATGTACCATATCCCTATATATTACTTTATAAAAAATAAATGTTTAATACTTTTAAATGTTTATTTTTATATTATTATATTTATTTTTAATTTAGTTAATTACAAACTTATTTGTTTTTAATAGAATGTCTTGAGGAACTTTCGATTGGTTGTTGACCGTAGTAGGACCAAAGTTAGAGAAGAAATCAAATCCTGAAATCAAATCCTGATTTTTATTGAAAATCTCGTGCATTTGCTGTTATAAATAAAAGTGAAACAAACCACTTGTACATTCTTATTTTCATTACATTCACTGTGCATACAGAATAAATAAATATAATAATGCTTACGTCATAATACTGTCATGTTCGTCTATCATTACCAGACGTATTATTATGATCTGTAATCTTCTTGTACATTAGTTTCAAGGCCGTTAATTTTGATGCACATTGTTTTGCAGAAAACATATAGTCATTTTCAGCTAGTCGTTGAGATATATTTTCAAAGACAGTCTTTTGCTTCAGTTTGCCACTTTTGCTACAATTGCCGGTTCATAATCTGCATATATTGTAATTGTATTATATAAACATTTGAATACTGTTCTTGAACTATGAACCTAAAAAATAAAATTTTCAAATGGAACAATACAAAAAATAAAGTAATACAACAATTAAAAAGTATACAGGGTGTATCTGAAATAACGTACACTAATCATACAATGCTATTTCTAATAAAAAACTGAGTTGAAAAGTCCTCTACCATTTTGCAATTTTCGCAATAGTTAACAAGATATTAATTACTAAAAATCGCTGAATATTGGTTTTCAATAATTTTTTACTCAAATACTATCAAATTTACAGAAAAACTGCATCAGACAAAAATCATTTTGTTTGGAGGAGCGGGAGACTCTCTGTTCATCATGGATGTTTGTTCGGCCATCTTTAAACTCCCTACACCACTTTGTCACTTTATCACATCACATCGCCATAAACAGAAATAATTTCACGGTGGATGTTGGCGGGCTTTTCATTTTTAGCGATAGCGAGATATCGGATGACAGTTCGCACTTCACACTTGGCGGAATCGGGAATTGCCGGGTTCATGTTATAACAAGATTCTGGCTGCGGTCCACTTGACGCTACAAACGCTTTGAAGTGTTTGAGTGACCAATCAGAACAAAGAATTTTACGAATTGACTAATCAAAGAATGCTTCGAAGCGTTTGTAGCGTCAAGTGGACCGCAGCCTCTGACGCAACCAGTCAAGCTACTGACCCCCTCCACCGCTTGTTCTCTTCATTGAAATCACCCCTCCAAGCAGGTGTGCCAACTTTGAAACGAAAGATTTCCCTCTGAGCTACAGACACGTTGTAATCTTACTTTCTGAATACGCCTCGTATATATGTACATACAAGCGGTGGAGGGGGTCAGTACATATTTATGAATATTTATGTACGTTTATACATATTTATACATATTCATGCATGAAAAATTTTTTTATCGAGACTACGTAAAGAATAAACATAATTTTTGTATAATTATATTAATTATTATTAAAACATTACGAAAATTTTTTAATAAATAAATAGTAGAATTGTATATGACATTATCGTTGAACGGATTCCTATAATCGGTGTACTTCTATTTTCATTTTTTCAAGATTGCTACAAAAAGTAAAATTTCTGTATTGCTCGTTTTCGTTAGCAATTTTCCTTTATTAGTTATACGCGTTTCCGCACTAATTGCTGCAAATCTTCTTCTTTGCATAATGGCTCCTGCCTTCATAACGAAAGGAGACAATATGGCCAGATCTCATCACAAATAGCAAATAGTATTGCAAGGTACGTTTAACGCCGGGCCCATCTTTTCAAAAATATAATGAATGATGCAATGTTCGAGCCGAAACGTCTGCTCCGATCGAACGATCTTTCGAGACTCACTGCTGCAGATCGTAATCTAGTATCTTTTCTGGCATCTTTCCTCATCTGACGATATAACATCTACACGAGACAAGCTTGTTAAAGAATAAAATGATATCTACGCCGAGGGACATATCACTTTCGAGTCACAGTGCGAGTCGTAGTGAGTCGGTACGTTCAAGAAATAAGTCAGCGCGCGAATCAACGAGCACAAATAGCGAAAATCGTGCAAGGAATTAGTAGAGGCCAGTGAAAATAAAGAACGAGACAAAATCGAGTCAGCGAGTCGAGCAACGATGTTTATTAAAATTTATTTCGAGAATGAAATACCCCTCATACGCTTCATTCGTAATTCGGAACGCACCCAGCTAAATCAATATCGAACTATGAATGTTTCTTCGCTGGCTTTTTTGCATAAATCGGCGGAGGAATTTCGCTAGCGATCAAGCTTTGCTGCATGAAATTGTACCTACGTAGACTAGACAAGGATGAACATTCAAAGTTGATTGAAATCGGAATATCCATTTCAATCTCCGGCTTCGGGGCCTCCGGGGTGCCCACTCTCAGGTTTCTCTCTGCGCGGTACAACTTCCAAAAATAAAAAGAAAAGATGAGAAAGATGGAATTTGAGAGGAGAGAGAAAAAAAAACAGAAATGTTTTTTCGCAAACGCTTGTAAAAGTTCGTCAATAAAGCCAACCGACATATGCGACTTTGTATATTATAAAAATTAGTGACCTTCTAAAAATCTCTTGATTTTTCCAAAAGCGGAAGCGTAATTGACCATCAGCAATCGGTGCGTAATAAAAAAATTATCTAATAAATATTTAATAAATACTTATAATAAACACAAAGGAATGTAATATATTACAAAGATTTTATATTTATATATATATATATTTCAAGTATTATGATTGAATTTTTCGTATTGTTCTCTAAAACTTTAGAAAAATCTCAAGAAAAATCTCAAGAAAATTATACTGTTGTCTTGAATATCTCATTGATCGGATGGTCCAAAATTCATTCGATTTCCATGAAAATCGATATTTGT